TCTTCAACGGGGGTATTGTGCACATCCTGCCATGCCTCCTGGTCTCATGTGGTGTTATTTCTGAGTGCAGGTTTGGAACCAGCCCCCTAGTATCTTCCATGTGTAAATTATTATGTATCTCTCCCGCCTGCGTTCAAGAGAATACAGATTTAGCCTTTTGAGTTGGTCCTAATAATTTAATTTATTGGGACCGACTTGGAAACCTTAAAAATATATCATTAACAACATTTCAACAACATACACTCTCTGTACCGTGTGAACGCTCCATCAATACTTGAGGTTATCTTGAGATGATCGGGGCTTTAGTGTCCCCGCGGCCCGGTCCTTGACCAGGCCTCCACCCCCAGGAAGCAGCCCGTGACAGCTGACTAACACCCAGGTACCTATTTTACTGCTAGGAAACAGGGGCATAGGGTGAAAGAAACTCTGCCCATTGTTTCTCGCCGGTGCCCGGGATCGAACCCGAGACCACAGGATCACAGTCCAGCATGCTGTCCGCTCGGCCGACCGGCTCCCTGATATAGAATCATATATTAATCATCCAGAGTATATCCCATCATAAACTTGAAGATACAGCAGCTCCCTGCCACTGTAACCTCCCTCACACAATACAAAAATAAAAAATATCCCGTTATATCATGTTTTTTGGTTGAAGTAAAATATCTAACAGATAAAAATCATTTTAAATTCAAAACAGTTCTATGGGACGAGGTGCAGCCATTCTTGTCTATGTAACCCCATTCATATTTACGTGTAACCTACGCTTGAAACAACCCACATAGCACTGTGAACATTGTCTAAGAACGGATTTATTATTATTATTAATATTATTATTTTCTACCACAGACGTGGCCAGACATTTACAATGCTAATCACTATATGAACATTTCTTCTGTCCTCCATGGACAGGTGTGAGAGATGTGTTAAACATATAGTTCAGGAATTCATTGAACAATCAACCACAGAAGGTGATTGTTGTGCTTTTAAATTGCTAATCTAACCTAAATACATAAATACATAGACTTATGTCTGTCCTACATATACAGTGTTTGAGGTGTCTTTTTACAGTATCATTAATGTGCGTTTACAAAGGTGTGTTATACACTATAAGTGCTTATTAACACACTATATTGTGACGGTAAAGCGTTGGTGTTCGGCTATTTCAAAAGCTAGGGGCAGGGCCTCGTCACATAATAGAAAAAAAAGAGAAAAGCTGGAGCTTTCGTCTGTGGTAAGGTAATGGGAAGACACACAAAACACAAGTAAATTAACAATGAAATTTTAATTACTCTAGAAAAACAAGACATGAATAAAGTTAAGCACATAAAAATATGAAAGACAAGTCAACAAACAAAATAATATGAATAATCACTGGCAAATGAAAAGTTACGTTAAGACAAGTGAGTTACAGTGATAGCAAAATAAAATATGAATGCTGGAATACCGGCTTCGAGCTGCCACCTCCCTTAGTACACGAAAGCCAAGGCTTAGTCTACCAGCGAGAGATGTCAACTGCTTGGAGCACTAAGATATTCTGACGATATTAGCGCACTGCAGCCCAGAGGTCAACTTGTGGTGGCGGCGGAGGGCAGGTGCGATGGGACACCAGCCAATCAGCGACAGGCAGGCAAAGGATGAGCAGTTTGCTGGTTACGGCGGTGGTAGGTAGCAGGTGTCACTGTGTGCTGGGTACGATTTGCTCTCTGGCAAAACGTTTGGCGATACTTGCTGGACGTATCTTCTATATTATCTTGTATATTGACGTACTTATGAAGGGAAGAGCAGGCTCAATCTCTCTTGAAAGAGATTATCGTCACATTATAAACTAGTGTGTTAATAAGCACTTAACCACTGAAGGTGATTAGGATGCTTTCACAAGCTCAGGTTACAGTTACATCACAAACATTGTATAACTGATGCCTTACATAGTCTTGGATACAAGTCCAATATATCATCAAGTGTTCCAGTATTCATATAGTAGTTACAGAGTTCCCCAAGTTGTGTAGAACTTTCACCATCAATCAGTGAACTTCCTGGCCTCAAATCAACAAGTTCAAAATGTCTAAACTTAATAAAAAATCTAAGTAATACTGTCACTATGGCGGTGTGTCCACTCACAGGATGAGTGACGCTGCCCAATACTGTCACTATGGCGGTGTGTCCACTCACAGGATGAGTGGCGCTGCCCAATACTGTCACTATGGCGGTGTGTCCACTCACAGGATGAGTGGCGCTGCCCAATACTGTCACTATGGCGGTGTGTCCACTCACAGGATGAGTGACGCTGCCCAATACTGTCACTATGGCGATGTGTCCACTCACAGGATGAGTGACGCTGCCCAATACTGTCACTATGGCGGTGTGTCCACTCACAGGATGAGTGGCGCTGCCCAATACTGTCACTATGGCGGTGTGTCCACCCACAGGATGAGTGACGCTGCCCAATACTGTCACTATGGCGGCGTGTCCACTCACAGGATGAGTGGCGCTGCCCAATACTGTCACTATGGCGGTGTGTCCACTCACAGGATGAGTGACGCAGCCCAATACTGTCACTATGGCGGTGTGTCCACTCACAGGATGAGTGACGCTGCCCAATACTGTCACTATGGCGGTGTGTCCACTCACAGGATGAGTGGTGCTGCCCAATATTGTCACTATGGCGGTGTGTCCACTCACAAGATGAGTGGCGCTGCCCAATACTGTCACTATGGCGGTGTGTCCACTCACAGGATGAGTGGCGCTGCCCAATACTGTCACTATGGCGGTGTGTTCACTCACAGGATGAGAGGCGCTGCCCAATACTGTCACTATGGCGGTGTGTCCACTCACAGGATGAGTGGCGCTGCCCAATACTGTCACTATGGCGGTGTGTCCACTCACAGGATGAGTGGCGCTGCCCAATACTGTCACTATGGCGGTGTGTCCACTCACAGGATGAGTGGCGCTGCCCAATACTGTCACTATGGCGGTGTGTCCACTCACAGGATGAGTGGCGCTGCCCAATACTGTCACTATGGCGGTGTGTCCACTCACAGGATGAGTGACGCTGCCCAATACTGTCACTATGGCGGTGTGTTCATTCACAGGATGAGTGAACACCTCGGCCTAGTACTGTTGTGAACACTGAAGAGTCACGGAAACCTCCCTTCAAAGCCACGGAAAAATGTTTTCAAAGTCAAGAAAACCCCTAATCCGAGGTAGGGAAGCCTTCCATCAAAGCCAGGGAGGACGCCGGAGCACCAAAGCCAGGGAGGACGCCAGAGCACCAAAGCCAGGGAGGGCGCCGGAGCACCAAAGCCAGGGAGGGCGCCGGAGCACCAAAGCCAGGGAGGGCGCCGGAGCACCAAAGCCAGGGAGGGCGCCGGAGCACCAAAGCCAGGGAGGGCGCCGGAGCACCAAAGCCAGGGAGGGCGCCGGAGCACCAAAGCCAGGGAGGGCGCCGTAGCACCAAAGCCAGGGAGGGCGCCGGAGCACGAAAGCCAGGGAGGGCGCCGGAGCACCAAAGCCAGGGAGGGCGCCGGAGCACCAAAGCCAGGGAGGGCGCCGGAGCACCAAAGCCAGGGAGGGCGCCGGAGCACCAAAGCCAGGGAGGGCGCCGGAGCACCAAAGCCAGGGAGGGCGCCGGAGCACCAAAGCCAGGGAGGGCGCCGGAGCACGAAAGCCACCTCCGCGAGAGGAGGGGAGCCGGGAGAGAGAGAGAAACAAATATATTAAGAGCGTGTCAGAGGTCCGTCAAGCGGCGGATGTTTTCCTTAGTAAGAGTGGGACCACTCGGCTCCCCGCCCGCCGCCGCCGCCTCACTAAATGACAGCTTCCTCATAGGGCACGCCAGTAGGGGCGTTGAGGCCCTCATGCCTCATATTTAGTGAGGCAGCTCTGCCAGCCCTCTCTCTCTCTCTCTCTCTCTCTCTCTCTCTCTCTCTCTCTCTCTCTCTCTCTCTCTCTCTCTCTCTCTCTCTCTCTCTCTCTCTCTCTCTCTCTCTCTCTCTCTCTCTCTCTCTCTCTCAACTCTCTCTCTAACTCTCTCTCTCTCTCTTTCTCTCTCTCTCTAAAAACTCCGCTAATCTAGGACAATATTTGTAAGGATGTCGAAGGAACGGTGGATGCTGGTGGTGGGGGAGATGAGGGATGCTGGTGGTGGGGGAGATGAGGGATGCTGGTGGTGGGGGAGATGAGGGATGCTGGTGGTGGGGGAGATGAGGGATGCTGGTGGTGGGGGAGATGAGGGATGCTGGTGGTGGGGGAGATGAGGGATGCTGGTGGGGGAGATGAGGGATGCTGGTGGTGGTGGAGATGAGGGATGCTGGTGGTTATGGGGGAGATGAGGGATGCTGGTGGTGGGAGAGATGAGGGATGGTGGTGGTGGGAGAGATGTGGGATGGTGGTGGGAGAGATGAGGGATGGTGGTGGTGGGAGATAAGGAACTGGCCTCCGGAACAAGGAACACGGGGACGGTGTTCCATCAGTAACATATTGGTCAGCAGCTGTCATGAGAGAGTTTCTTGACTGGTGTCCACAGACCTGCCGGCAAGCACCTCAGGTGTCCAGAGACCAGGTAATGCTGGGTTCTTGCGCCAGGTGGCAAGCTCGCTAGTCTGACCCACACCTGGCAGGTTCACACACCTGGCAGGTCCACACACCTGGCAGGTCCACACACCTGGCAGCTCCACACACACCTGGCAGCTCCACACACCTGGCAGCTCCACACAGGAGTGACGGGAGACAAGAGAGGACCAGGGCTCGGGGGAGTGTTCTTGTGTCCACCAATCTACACTTTCTTGAGGAATCTTGGCGAGACCCCCCTCCCAGGCAACACTCACAAGACGCTCTCCCCAACACTGTGTTGCCTGGATGCTCCCCTCATCACCCCCTCCCCCTCCTCTCTAGCTAGCGTCCCCCCCCCCCCACACCCTCTATTCTCTCCCCTTCTCTTCTCCCCCCCCCCCTCACACTCTCCCTTCCTCCCCTCTGTCACCCTGCTTGAGGGGCATTTACAGTGACAGTCTCCAGCTCCTGAGGGGAAGACTTAAGGGGGAAGGAACAAGGAACTTCCTGTTTGCGGAACAAGAAACTGACGGAACAAGAAGCTCGCGGAACAAGAAGCTCGCGGAACAAGAAGCTCGCGGAACAAGAAGCTCGCGGAACAAGAAGCTCGTGGAACAAGAAGCTCGCGGAACAAGAAGCTCGCGGAACAAGAAGCTCGTGGAACAAGAAGCTGACGGAACAAGAAGCTCGCGGAACAAGAAGCTCGCGGAACAAGAAGCTCGCGGAACAAGAAGCTCGCGGAACAAGAAGCTGACGGAACAAGAAGCTGACGGAACAAGAAGCTCGCGGAACAAGAAGCTCGCGGAACAAGAAGCTCGCGGAACAAGAAGCTCGCGGAACAAGAAGCTGACGGAACAAGAAGCTCGCGGAACAAGAAGCTCGCGGAACAAGAAGCTGACGGAACAAGAAGCTCGCGGAACAAGAAGGGAGCGGAACAAGAAGGGAGCGGAACAAGAAGGGAGCGGAACAAGAAGGCAGCGGAACAAGAAGGGAGCGGAACAAGAAGGGAGCGGAACAAGAAGGGAGCGGAACAAGAAGGGAGCGGAACAAGAAGGGAGCGGAACAAGAAGGGAGCGGAACAAGAAGGGAGCGGAACAAGAAGGGAGCGGAACAAGAAGGCAGCGGAACAAGAAGGCAGCGGAACAAGAAGGCAGCGGAACAAGAAGGCAGCGGAACAAGAAGGCAGCGGAACAAGAAGGGAGCGGAACAAGAAGGGAGCGGAACAAGAAGCTCGCGGAACAAGAAGCTCGCGGAACAAGAAGCTCGCGGAACAAGAAGCTCGCGGAACAAGAAGCTCGCGGAACAAGAAGCTCGCGGAACAAGAAGCTCGCGGAACAAGAAGCTCGCGGAACAAGAAGGCAGCGGAACAAGAAGGCAGCGGAACAAGAAGGGAGCGGAACAAGAAGGGAGCGGAACAAGAAGGGAGTGGAACAAGAAGGCAGCGGAACAAGAAGGCAGCGGAACAAGAAGGCAGCGGAACAAGAAGCTCGCGGAACAAGAAGCTCGCGGAACAAGAAGGGAGCGGAACAAGAAGGGAGCGGAACAAGAAGGCAGCGGAACAAGAAGGCAGCGGGGAGTGTATCATGTAGACCAAGACACACTGTGGAGAGGGTATTGTGTGTTGCACAACCCCTCCCGCCCGCAACACACACAAAGCAAAGATCACATGGTTTTGCTACATTTGCTACAGCGCGCGCGCGCATGCACACACACACGCACACACACACACACAGGGGGGGGGGGAGGGGTTAGGAGGTGTTATAGAGGCTAATGCAAAAGCTGGAGATGCAGACAGGAGTGAAAGGGAAGATACTCTACTGGATAAGGGAGTACCTAAGCAACAAGAGACAACGAGTCAGTGTGAGGGGTGAGGCTTTGGAGTGGCGAGGCGTCATCAGTGGAGTCCCGCAGGGTTCAGTCTTGGGACCTATACTGTTTCTGATATATATAAATGATCTCCCAGAGGGTATAGAATCGTTCCTCTCATTGTTTGCTGATGATGCAAAAATTATGAGGAGGATTAAGACAGAGGAAGATATTACGAGGCTACAAGATGACCTGGACAGACTGAACGAATGGTCCAATTAATGACTACTAAAGTTCAACCCGAGTAAATGTAAGGTAATGAAGCTAGACGGTGGAAACAGGAGGCCAGACACAGGATACAGAACGGGAGATGAAGTACTTCATGAAACGGACATAGAGAAAGATCTAGGAGTTGATATCACACCAAACCTGTCTCCTGAAGCCCACATAAAGCGAATAACATCGGCGGCGTATGAAAGGCTGGCTAACATCGGAACAGCGTTCAGGAACCTGTGTAAGGAATCATTCAGAACCATGAATACCTCATATGTAAGACCAATCCTGGAGTATGCAGCCCCAGCATGGAGTCCGTACCTTGTCAAGCACAAGACGAGGCTGGAAAAAGTTCAGAGGTATGCCACTAGACTAGTCCCAGAACTAAGAGGCATGAGTTACGAGGAAAGGCTACGTGAAATGCTCCTCACGACACTAGAAGACAGAAGAGTAAGTGGAAACATGATCCCTACCTACAAAATTCTTAGAGGAATTGACAGGGTAGATAAAGAAAAAACTGTTTAACACTGGCGGGACGCGAACAAGGGGACACGGTGGAAACTGAGTACCCAAATGAGCCACAGAGACGTTAGACAGAACTTGTTCAGTATCAGAGTAGTTAACAGGTGGAATGCATTAGGCAGTGATGTGGTGGAGGCTGACTCCATACACAGTTTCAAATGTAAATAAGATAGAGCCCAGTAGGCTCAGGAACCTGTACACCAGTTGATTGACAGTTGAGAGGCGGGACCAAAGAGCCAGAGCTCAACCCCCGCAAACACAACTAGGTAAGTACAACTAGGTGAGTACACACAGCCACCAACAAACACGTGGGTTGAGCATAAACACGGTTGACGGGGTTGATGGGGTGGAGTGGTTGAGTAATAGAGGGGTAACTGGGTGGTGACGTTTGCATCCGAGGCTGCGAGGTGCTGGCCGGGAGTACTGGTGGCTGTGAGGGGGTGGGTGGTGAGGCAGGCCAGGAGGCCAGGTGGGGGGGTGAGGCAGGCCAGGAGGCCAGGTGGGTGGTGAGGCAGGCCAGGAGGCCAGGTGGGGGGTGAGGCAGGCCAGGAGGCCAGGTGGGGGGGGGGTGAGGCAGGCCAGGTGGGGGGGAGGCAGGCCAGGGGGGCCAGGTGGTGGTGTGAGGCAGGCCAGGGGGCCAGGGGGGGCCAGGTGGTGGGGTGGTGGTGTGAGGCAGGCCAGGGGGGCCAGGTGGTGGGGTGGAGGTGTGAGGCAGGCCAGGGGGCCAGGTGGTGGTGTGAGGCAGGCCAGGGGGCCAGGGGGGGCCAGGTGGTGGGGTGGAGGTGTGAGGCAGGCCAGGGGGAGGTGTTAACAGGTCTATAAATTACCCACACATTGGCCACCATAGCCGGCCTGGCCCCGGCCACCAGCATTGTTTTTTTCTTCCTTTGTAATGTGATTATTTTCTACCACAGACGTGGCCAGACATTTACAATGCTAACCAGCATATATACATTTTCTTCTGTCCTCCATGGACAGGGTGAGAGATGTGTTAAACATATAGTTCAAGGGTTTATTGAACAATCAACCACAGAAGGTGATTGTTGTGTTTTTAAAATGCTAATCAAACTTACATAAATATACAGATTTACGTCTGTCCTACATAAACAGTGTTCGAGGTGTGTTTTAAAGTGTCATTAATGTGCGTTTACAAAGGTGAAATGCAATTCTGAGCAGTTTACACAAATCCTGTATGCAGACACACAATGGGTGCGTACGTGTGTGTGTGTACTGCCGTGTGTGAACATAGTGATACGCGTGCGTACATATGCTTGTGTGCGTGCATGTACTAGTGTGCACGTACACACACACACACACACATATATATATTATATATTATATATATATATATATATATATATATATATATATATATATATATATATATATACCACCTCTGGCTGGAAGAAGGGGGACCCATAGCCTCGGAGGAAACCACACATAACGCATTGGAGGGAATGTGGGTCCCCTCCAATACAGTTTCTGTGTGCTTTTCTCCTACCACCCCCTTCCCTTTTTTTTTTTTTTTTTTTTTTCCTTTATTGTGTATTTAAAGGTTACAAAACATACAAGACAAATGCCTAAAGGTTATGGATCTCTTGAAGCTCCTCCGCTTCTGGACAGGAACCGAGGACGCAGCAAGCATTTCCCCTCTGGATCGCCACACTGAGACGCTGAAATAAAAAACTGGAAGCCCTTGGGTCTTTGGTGACGTCAATGAGCTTGGACCCCAATTCCTTGAGAAATCCCAAGGCACTCTTGCCCCAGGGGCCATGCGTCTCAGACGCTATGGGAACAAAGAGGTATTGACCTTCCAGTCGCCTGTACTTGAGTGATTTTGCTGTTTCCCTGTGGTTGGCCGCCCCACCTGCTTGATCAGCTCCGAAGTGTACATAGGTGTCAGCCAGGGTGGATACACATGTGTAGTCCCACACCAACTGTCTACCCTCCTTCCATGAGTATATGGTGATGCCATCAGGGCGAAGTGCTGGGAAATCCGGGTTTTGGACCCCTAGGATGCGAGGTTCTCTCTCCGCTGGGCACCCAGCTGAGACGAGGCTTCTCTTGATGATGTCATTGACCTCGTTGTGTCTTGCATGCCAGCCCTTTGTGCTTCCGCAATGCAACCCATGCAGTCCGTATTGGTCTGCTTCCACCCTGTTGCAAATACACTTGTATTCAGTGTGAATTGGGGCACCAAGGCGGAGGGCCACTGCTACACGAAGGGATTCTGGATCTAGGCGCGTGCCCATTGCAGACATGGGTACTGCCAGGAGGAAGTCTCCTGCATGGGGGGCACGCACTGCTCTGAGGCGGGCTTTCTCCTTGTCTGATGTTGCTACGCTTAGCATGGCATCAGCTACTTTTTCCACTAGAGGGTGGTCCCAGCCGGACTGTTTGTGTTGTTTTGTTGGCTCTGTAATGGTTGCTGGGGCTGCAAGAACATTCCACTGATTTGAACATTCAGTGAAAGCAGGATCGTGTATTCCTGCTGAATCTCTCAGGGTTGCAGGTAAAATATCTCTGACGAGGTCGTGCGATGCATGAGAGGAGGAAAGGAAGGCTGGTAGAGCAATTTGGGAGGCTGTGCGGACACCAAGGCCGCCGAGTCTTACAGGAAGGGTTGCTTGCTCCCACTGAGAGTCGTCCAATGGCAGGTTCAGGACTTTCACCAGCATGGACCTTAGAAGGGTGTCATACACATTTAACTTAGGGCTGCTGTAGGATGGAGAACATCTCAGAAAGTAGGTCAACTTAGGGAGAGACAGGCATCTTGTAAGGAGAAAGAGAGCATCATGGGCATCAATCTTGTCAATCCTGTCCTGCATTCTCTTTAGGTCAGTGATTTTTGCAGCCAGGACCTCCTCGATTGCTCGTGGGCCAATGGGGCACCCAGGAGAGTGCAGTCCGGTCGTTCGACAACGAGAATGTCTGGAAGAGCATTTTGTATTTGCCCAGTGATGTCTGGGTTGCGGGAGATTATTTCACATTTGGATGCATTGAGAATGAGGCCTAAGGCTGCTCCCTGCTCCTGAATTTTCCTTATATCCCCCAAAATGGTTTCCGGAGTTCCAGCTAGAGTGCCATCATCCAGGTACCAGATGTTTAGCTCGCTTGTCAGACTATCAGTGACCTCTTTGATAGCTAGGCAGAAAAGGAGGGGGGCTAAGGGGTCACCTTGTTGGACACCTTCACAGGAGTTTATTTCATGCTCCCCAAAAAGAAGCTTAGAGTCCCCACTGTAGCACGATCGGATGAATGGGTAAAGGGGACGGAAATGGTTGTGTACAGCCCTGAGGACAGCGTCTCGTCTGACTTGATTGAAGGCATTTTTGAAGTCAAGCTTTACTAGTGCCTTCTGGTCCGGGAGATCAACAATGTAAGCCCGCGCTGCATGTGCTGCAGCTTCACAACCTAGGGGAATCCCAAACCCGAGCTGATGAGGTTTCAGCAAGGTGGCTGCTTCCTGGCTGATAGATCTCACTGCAGCCTTAGCTACAAGGCGTCGGAGGGTGTTGCCAACGGCAATGGGCCTGATACCCCTATCCTTCTTCTTTAGAGCACAGAGTGCTGCTCCATAAAAGACAGGCCTGATGTCCTCAGGGATGCCGCCAGCCAAACACATGTTGGAGAATCTGGTAAGTTCCACTAGAAGATCCTTTGCAGCATCTCCAAGCACCGGGTTCAGCATTTGTTTGATGTGCTGGGGTCTTAGGCCTGTAAAGCCCCCTGCTGAACCTGTTGGGAAAGACATGGCTGCTTTGTACACCTCAGATTCTCGAACAGAGAATCACCTCAGAAATCACCTCAGAAATACACCTCAGATTCTCGATTCTCGATTCTCTTATATATATATATATATATATATATATGACACCTGGGGTATTGGACACTTTCACAAAGTTGACACCTGGTGTATTGGACACTTTCACAAAGTTGACACATGGTGTATTGTACACTTTCACAAAGGTGACACATGGGGTGTACTCGACATTTGGGTTTTGAGAAAGCTGCCAGATACGTCTATATCCCAGGCGTATTCTGGCCACTATAACATCACATTGCCGGGTTCTTGTTCTATTAGTCCCATATGTGAATGTCTCCTCACCATATTTATTATAATGTTTGATGCTACAACTTTCAGGTCTTTGTGAACTTGTCAGGCCAGTAAGATGTTCATTAGATATTTGTTAAAGTATTCTCTTTGTCACTGCTAATGAAACACCCATATCAATTTCAACGTTGCAAAGGCCCCGGACGGGAGACAGAACACCCTCAAGTGTTGCAAGGCCCCGGACGGGACACACAACACTCCAAAGTGTTTCTGGCGGGAAAAATATAATTGAGATCACCGGACTGATCCTTCCACAAGCTGACCCGTTTTCTCTCTCTCTCTACAGGGGTGACTCCTCTGCGGCCAGCAGCTCCCGTCCTCTCTATAAAGGTCAGTGGTATTACTTTCTTCTTCTGACATTTTCAGTGTTCATTGGCGTCTTTCCGTATCATTGACTTTGAATTAAAAAATGCTATTTTATTGACTCGAAAGTGCATAAAATATAGAATCGAACGTAACGTGTCCTTGAGGAAAATAAACAAGCCTAGGCCTAACATAGGTAATGTTGTGGCTGGTTTAGTATGTATGTTCTGTACTAGGCCTATACTAGGCCAGGACAACGTTGGTTTAATTGTTGCCTTCTTCCTCATGCCATCCACAGAGGTAATAGTACAAAGCGCGAACATTGTTGGCTGCAATAGTCCATTTTTGTACTTTCTACCGAAAGTTGCTATATGCACTAGTGTTTTTTGGACCTTAGGCCGCATTATGTATGACTAATGGTTATACCAAGGCTTAATAGGGGGTATACCAGGATACACACACCGTAAGGTATCCCTTTTTACCCGGTGCGTTTACACCTAGAGTTTAGTCTTGAACTATAGCCGGTCGGCCGAGCGGACAGCACGCTGGGCTTGTGATCCTGTGGTCCTGGGTTCGATCCCAGGCGCCGGCGAGAAACAACGGGCAGAGTTTCTTTCACCCTATGTCCCTGTTACCTAGCAGTAAAATAGGTACCTGGGTCAGCTGTCACGGGCTGCTTCCTGGGGGTGGAGGCCTGGTCGAGGACCGGGCAGCGGGGACACTAAAAAGCCCTGAAATCATCTCAAGATAATCATCTCAAGAAGGACTTGTATAATTGCTGACTGGTCAGTAAGCTGTTGCTGATTAACTCTCCAGGGGCACCAAGTTTCTCTATATTCCCTGAGTTCATAACCGGGGCTGCGAGTAGATAATATTATGTCGACGTGGTGCCGTGTCGGGGCGGACTGTAGTAGTCCCCCCTCCACTCCTCTTCCCTTGGAAAGCTCGTTATCTTTCCCGACGTTTTCTCTTGATTTGTGGGTTTGTGGCGCCACAGAACGCGGAATATATATATTCTAGGAGATACCATTACGTTTTCTTTTCTTTTTTTAAGTGGCCTCACCGCATTCCTTCACTCTGTGTCAAGTCCTACATCTTGTCTTGATGACTGTGGCTGCTGGGGACGACGTCCAAGGCTCCAGCTAGCAAGATTGCGCGCCAGAATAAATTCCCCTTAGTGCAAATTTCCGCCATTTACTCATTATCTTCATGCTGAGTTACGACGAGAGTTGAGAGCTCCGGTCTACGGTCCCTTCGATGGTCGTCCAGCTTCGAGGTCCGAGCGAGAGAGAGGGCAAACTCGCCCGGGCATTAGGCATGCATGGGTTACCCTACTCCCCCCCCCCCCCTTGCCTAGCTCCTCCACGGGTCGAGGGACGAGCGCCGAGCCCTACAAGGCTCCGTGCCGCCCCTAGGGGTACCTGATAATTTAGCCTTACGACTAACACAAGAGTCCAACGTTCGCGTTGTACAGGGGCCGCCGTTGGACTTAATTTGTTGGCCGGGGCGCGCGCACCGTTAAACTCGGACTTATGGAGTATTTATGATATAGAGGCGGTGGCCGCTAGGGACCAGGGGGCCCCGCCCCTACAGGTCCTAGTATGAGAAAATTGATTTTGGAAATGGGAAAAATTTGCAGGGTGACCCTTTGTTACTGGGTGGGGGAATATTGTGTTGTGTTAGATAATAAATAGATAGATAACCTCAAGATAACCTCAAGATAACCTGTGTAGCCCTCAGGGTGTGTGGGGCAGGGCAAGCAGGGCATCTCTGACCTAATGGGCTTCGTTGCCTGGTAAGAGAGAGTTGGTGGGTGTTGGTACAGTGGATGAGAGTGGGATGCTCCCGAACTGGAAGGAAACGTCGCTGGATGAATAGCAGGCTGGGTGAATGGATGGCTGGATGATTGAATGATAGGTTGGATAAATAGCAGGCTGGATGAATGAATGACAGGTTAGGTGAATGGCAGGCTGCATGAATGACAGGCTGCATGAATCAATCCCAGGTTGGATGAATGCCAGGCTAGATAATTGACAGGCTGGATGAATGAATGCCAGGCTGGATGATTGCACGGCTGCATGAATGACAGGCTGCATGAATGACAGGCTGCATGAATGAATGCCAGGCTGGATGATTGCACGGCTGCATGAATGACAGGCTGCATGAATGAATGCCAGGCTGGATGATTGCCAGGCTGCATGAATGACAGGCTGCATGAATGACAGGCTGCATGAATGAATGCCAGGTTGGATGATTGCACGGCTGCATGAATGACAGGCTGCATGAATGAATGCCAGGTTGGATGATTGCACGGCTGCATGAATGACAGGCTGCATGAATGACAGGCTGCATGAATGAATGCCAGGCTGGATGATTGCCAGGCTGCATGAATGACAGGCTGGATGAATGAATGACAGGCTGGATGATTGCCAGGCTGCATGAATGACAGGCTGGATGAATGAATGACAGGCTGGATGATTGCCAGGCTGCATGAATGACAGGCTGGATGATTGCCAGGCTGCATGAATGACAGGCTGCATGAATGAATGACAGGCTGGATGATTGCCAGGCTGCATGAATGACAGACTGCATGAATGACAGGCTGGATGAATGACAGGCTGCATGAATGACAGGCTGCATGAATGACAGGCTGCATGAATGACAGGCTGCATGAATGACAGGCTGCATGAATGACAGACTGCATGAATGACAGGCTGGATGAATGACAGACTGCATGAATGACATCTTCAGGGCTTTAATAGGCTTCAGGATAAACAACAGGGTTTCAGGAGACCTTCAATAGACTTCAGGAGAACATTAAAAGGCTTTTGGAGAGCTTTAATAGACTTCATGATGAGCAGCAGCGGGGCTTCAGGAGAGCTTCAGTGGGCTTCAGGTCAGAGAGGCCAAGTTTGACCCGCTGTATGATGTTCTTGACAAGAGCTGTCAAGCGCTTGACAAGCCTGGCAAACAACGCCAAACATAAACTCTTCATTCAGTAAGGGTCGTATTGGCAGCCTCCCCATGACGGGAGTGTAGCAGGGGGCCCCCCCAAGGACCGTGTTACAAGGGCCCCCCAAGGTCCGTGTTACAAGGGACTCCCCCAAGGTACGTATTACAAGCCCCCCCCCCCAAGGTCCGTGTTACAAGGGCCCCCCAAGGACCGTGTTACAAGGGCACCCCAAGGTACGTGTTACAAGCCCCCCCCCCAAGGTCCGTGTTACAAGGACCGTGTTACAAGGGCACCCCAAGGTACGTGTTACAAGGGCCCCCCAAGGACAGTGTTACAAGGCCCCCCCCCAAGGTCCGTCTTACAAGGGCCCCCCCAAGGTCCGTGTTACAAGCCCCCCCCCCAAGGTCCGTGTTACAAGGGCCCCCCCAAGGACCGTGTTACAAGGGCCCCCCCAAGGTACGTGTTACAAGCTTCCCCCCCCCCCCCCAAGGTCCGTGTTACCCCCCCCAAGGTCCGTGTTACAAGGGCCCCCCAAGGACCGTGTTACAAGGGCACCCCAAGGTACGTGTTACAAGGGCCCCCAAGGACAGTATTACAAGGCCCCCCCCCCCAAGGTCCGTCTTACAAGGGCCCCCCCAAGGTCCGTGTTACAAGGCCCCCCCCCCCCCCCAAGGTCCGTGTAAGTCATTATACGTGGTAGGTCATATCACTAATACATAATTGTTTGAGCAGGGCAGATATTACAGAGTTATAGGGAAGTTGCTGTTTATTATTAGTCTTTACAGTACATTATTTGTTTCTTATTCTCATATGTCGTTTATCTACTGGAAGCGAAATATGGATACAGTGCAAGGATTTCAGGTAATTTATCCTTGGTAATAAGACATATTGCCATATCATACAGCGTGAGCTTAGATTTATCTCTAAATAGTTCTGTTTTAGTACATTCCAAGATAGTGTTCGAGTGTTTGTCCCTGTCTTTGTCCACACACTTTACTTCATCTAGATCCCTATACAAGCTGAACTGCCAGAGATACTTGTAGCCAAGTCTTATACGAGCTGTGACAACATCTGTTAGTCTACTGACTTTGTTACTTGCCCCATACACATGTTTTACTTCACACATTTCATTGTGATAAACAATGGACCTGCTAGTTCCAGTTTGCACTGTTCTACTTTCTTCAAATCCATCCAGGAGTTCTCGTCTAATGACACTTTTAAGGGACCTATTTGATAACTCAAGATTCCGTTCAATACTGTCTTTATTTACTGCAGCCTTAGCAAGGGCGTCAACTTTATCATGTTCCTGCATGCCAATGTGAGAAGGAATCCACAACATTTTTATATTTACCCTCTTGCTAAGTATTCTTATATATCTGTCTAGCTTCTGAGACAAGCACGTTATCACTTGATTGCAAACTGTTTATTGCTCGTAGTGAGGAAAGGGAGTCGGAAATAATTAAGATGTCTACTTCAGTGTTGTCAATAATGTAGAGTGCTACCAGTATCGCTACCAACTCGGCTTCCATTGTGGACGCCCAGTTACTAATTCTTATATTCCTTTGAATTGTGCTGCCATCGGGCTGATGAGCAATAACAGCACTTCCTGCCCTCCCTGTAGCTGTATTGAGTGATCCGTCAGTGTATATGGTCTGTGCTATGTTGTTTTCAGCTTGTATATTGTGAATGTATTCTATGGTGCTTAATTTAGCAGCAAGCTGAGCATGAGGGTTGCTTGTGATTAGTTTCCTGGTGGGGTATGCAGGGGTCAGGATGTCAAAAGGTACTATCTGCCAGGGTGGAAGGAAGTGCTGTACTCTTTCATCTGTACATACATCGTGCAGTCCCATCATTTTAATATGAGTGACTGTTCTTTGAATCCATTTAGACTCGCTGGTTCCATTACGTATGTGTTAACAGTTTAACTGACAATGTTTCTGTTATCACGCAGAAGCTTTAGTCCCATCATAAGATCGATTTCAAATATTCTGTCTCGAATGCTAAGTATATGTAATTCTTTCCGCGTATTGAGAACTTTGGTAGTTATAGGACAGCCAGGTATAATTCTGAGTGCTTCATTTTGCATTTTTTCCAGTCTATCAATATTTTTGCCATTTTACAGAACTAAAGCTGGTGCATGATAGTCTATCAGAGACCTTATATTTGATAAGTACATCATTTTTGCTATTCTAATATTAACACCGTATTTAGGGCTGTACCCCACTACAGTTCTGAGAGCATTGAGTAAAATAAAAATAAATAAAATGTTTATTTAGGTAAGGTACATACATACATACAAGAAATTTTTACAAAGATTGGTTGAATTATAGGTAGAGCTAGTACATACAATGCCTAAAGCCACTATTACGCAAAGCGTTTCGGGCATACCGAGTGTGTCTATTGACTGCAGTTGAGGTACAAGCGACAGAGACACCAAGGTATTTGAAAGAAGAGACATTCCTTTCATATAAAAGGGGTGACGCCGAGGAAAATAAGACTCGCGTCCCTACAAAAAAAATAACTTGGTATATTGGTATGTTATCTAAAGTTTTCGTGGTCCACTTTTGCGGTTGCCAATTTGTCTCTTACATACCTTAGTGTTAGCAGCGTTGATTACAAGACCAAGGCTCTCACAAGCTGTATGTATACAATTTAAGACTGCATTTCGCGGTGGGTTTTAGTATGTACAAGGATGTCATCTGCATAGCTGATAGTGATGTTTGCCGGACTAGTTGGGATTAATTTTAGTAAGGCATTAATTAGAACATTAAACACGGTAGGACTTAGTACTCCTTGTGGGGTGCCTAGTTGCATTACTTTAGTTTCACTCTTGTAGCATTGGAACAGTGCAGAGGACTTCCAGTTGGTAAGATAGCCTCGTATCCATTGTAATAATTGTCCACCTATATCTATTCTTGCTAATTCATACATAATCACTTCCCTATTAGCAATATTAAATGCATTTTTTAAATCAAGACATGTGTATCTGGGCCTTTTATCTCCATGAACTTCAAGGATTTGATTTGATTGATTGTTGCCGCCGAAGGCGGCTAGTTTATTGTGCACCCCATACTCATCCTGTGAGCGGTAGCGCAAAAGCATTACAGAGGGCACAAAAGGGCTTTATCAGACCTCATCTTAGATTATTACATAAACAATTTCATCTATCCTTCACACCTTATAGTTACAATGTCAGCTAGTTACAGTGAAAGTGCTATTTCAAGAGCTATATATTTACAGTAAGTCATTATACATTAATGGTAGGTCTTATCGCTAAAAGATAATAGTTTGACCAAAGGGGATATTACAGAGTCATAGGGGAGCTTCTGTTTATTATTAGTCCTCACAATACACTACTTGTTTCTGAATCTCATATGTCGTTCATCTACTGGAAGCGAAATGTGGATGCAGTGCAAGGATTTCAGGTAATTTATCCATGGTAATAAGATAGGTTGCCATATCATACAGAGTGAGCTTAGATTTATCTCTAAATGGCTCAATTTTACTACAATCCAAGATATAGTGTTCGAGTGTGTGTCCCTGTCTTTGTCCACACACTTTACACTTTACTTCATCTAGATCCCTATACAAGCTGAACTGCCAGAGATACTTGTAGCCAAGTCTTATACGAGCTGTGACAACATCTGTTAGTGTACTGACTTTGTTACTTGCCCCATACACACGTTTTACTCCACACATTTCATTGTGATGAACAATGGACCTGCTAGTTCCAGTTTGCACTGTTCTACTTTCTTCAAATCCATCTAGGAGTTCTCGTCTAATGACACTTTTAAGGGACTTATTTGATAACTCAAGATTCCGTTCAATACTGTCTTTATTTAATGCAGCCTTAGCAAGGGCGTCAAGGAAATGCTGGACTAACCGAGCTGTGGTGGGTATGTGGGCCTGCGGGCCACTCCAAGCAATAGACTGTTCAATAGGCAATAGGTTGTTCAACATCCTCTCAGCGAGCATAAGAAATATTGCCGGAACAACCGTGGACATCTTCAAGAGGAAACTAGATAATTTTCTCTAGATAGTTCTGATTGTTTTCTCCAAGGAGTTCCGGACCAACTGGGCTGTGGTGGGCCTGCGGGCCGCTCCAAGCAACAGCCTGGTGGACCAAACTCTCACAAGTCAAGCCTGGCCTCGGGCCGGGCTTGGGGAGTAGAAGAACTCCCAGAACCTCATCAACTAGATCCAATGCGAGTCATACCGGGGGCTGCCAGATGGCTCAAAATACTGAGCTTAAGAATGGACACCAAAGTAACAGTGGTTTAATAAAGGATAAAAAAGCAGCACAAGGTGTGCTGACCATGGTACCGACTACACCAATAACCGGCTCACTTGAAGATATAATCAATACAGCATATAAACAGATGGACTCTGCAATAAACACTCAATATATTCAACTTCAAAAACTAAATTACCGAGACAAAATTAGCATGTATTTTGTCGACAAACGTTGTCAAAGAAATTAATGCAGACTTAAAGCTTCTCTCCAACGAAAAAAAAAGAATCAAACAAAACCCCGCTATCTGCTACTCATCAACTGACAGATGAATATAGAAGCAGACTTGCTATCTGACAGCTTCACAGACGGATCAGTAGACCAACACAGACAAGAATCTGGAGCTGCAGTTAAGGCAGAACATTTCATAGTGACTAACAAACTTTTCAAACGGATACGTTACAGAGATGCTAGCCATTTAAAGAGGCTTTGGAACATGCTCTTGCTGAACACCGACAACATGTTATCATACTGATTCGAGAACTGCCGCTGAACCCTTGCAACAAGAACACATATGTGACAACTATGATCCATAACATACACACACATGTCACAGCATTAATGCAAACAAACAAACGTCAAGGCCGTCGGATACGTATCAACTGGGAGCCAAGTTACGTTGCAATATCAGAGGTTACCATTGCACACGACGCTTCAAAAGTTGCAACAAGA